TCGCCTGGAGGAGATCCTTCTCATGCTCATTCCACTTCGCACGCCGCATGCCACCCGAGAAGCTCGCCGCATGCTGCCTCCAAGCCTTGGGCGGCGACGAAGGCCAAGCCACTCTGGTGCAATCGTTGGAATGCCAAGTCCGTTGGTGGATTCCTCATGTTTAACCCTCCCCGCCCAACCCAGTCTGTGAAAATTTTCATACGGCTCGAACCTTTCCAGTCTCCGGTTGGAATCCGAAAAGTCAAAACGTCAGCCAGGTTGTTTCATCCACTCCCGGACTTGAAAAGGCACAGTAGTTTAGTCGAAGGGTCAGAAATTGGTTTCAACCAGCGCCGGGCTCAACAAGTAAAAACACATCCGAAAATCCGAAAAGTCAAAAAACCTAAAAGTGCAAAAGCAATCTCTAAGTTGAACACTTTTAGATCTTTGGAGTTTTCACATTTTTGGACTTTGCAGATTAATGCCAGACATTTCTCGGAGTTCGTGCTCTTTAAACCTTTCAGCATTGGTACTTTTGCATGTTTCTATACCAGAAGCCTCCTGACTCCCTTTGCAAGCTTTGCATTTTTGAAGCAGCTTGCAAACTGATTTGCAGTCTTTGATTTGGTCACTTTTTAATTGACATAATACATGGGTTTTGGTGGCTTGTGAAGTACTAGCTTAGGGTTCGACGCTGCAAACTGATGGCCGGGATCCCCATGCTTCAAGGGTGCCAAACATTCCCACCCGGATCTACAGCTGCAACTGGTGCACATTTGTGCTGTGGATTTACGACTGGATCGAGGGGACGGTCTTTGTTTTCTTCTTGAACTATACTCAAAACGGACCAATCATGCTGGTATCTTAACCACACCTGAAAGGCCTTGTGTCTCAGGTGCTTTTAGGTGCTTTTGAGTCAAAGTGGCCGACATAATGGAATCACACCTTTGCATCGCGCGGTGGACACCGGCAGGATGCAGGCATTTGTGAAGGTGGACTGACCACACTCAGGCCGGGACAACAGGACCATATTGAAAGAAACAGGACCAACAACAAGGACATCACATCAATCACATCAGTACTTTTGCAAGGTCTCTCATAGAACAGGACCCTTTGCTCAACCAGAATTGCTCGTGAACTTCGTTGATGGACAAATCTAGTTCCTCGTGGCCACAGGGATTTCTTGACCAAAATGAACATCGGCAGCGGCCCCAGCTTCTATTGCAGAGGGCAGTTTCCTTCTTAAAGAATGCAGTGTTAATACATGTTCTACGTTGCCATTCCTTCCATCTCATGATGCGTGGTGCCGGCGCTTGGCGGCGATTTTGGCGCACCAACGGAGCAAGGTGATAGCACCATCTACACTGATGCGGATATCGCGGGCGCCTGCGATGCGAACAGTTCCTCAGCAAATTACTTTTTCATTTTGCAAAAAACATCTTCGCTTGGCTTTCGCATTCGCAGCCGAATTTGTAAGGAAATGTAAGGAATTTGGAAGACCTGCATCGTTTTCTCTGGAATAGTGGATCCGATAAATTTGTGACAGTAAAGCCCAGCGTCGCATATGACAGTATATGTCATACCACACCCCACCCCAGAGATTGAAACCTAACTGTATTCGGCCGTTGGGAACCTCCCCCCAAGCCAAGCGTCTGTCTATGGGGTCTTCCGATCAGAAAACTTCCTCTCCGACTTGGAGCTGCGGTTCCATTCATGGAGGCTCTGGGACAGTGGCCCATGCTTTTCATACTCTGGGACAGTTGCTTGCTTCTGTGGAAGCTGCAAACTCCTGAAAAGGACCACGCCCTGATCGATCCACTACAGACTTCTCTGAAACACAAAGTCTCCAATCCTGGAGCCTTCGGTCTGGAAGTGCTCTGCCCACCATCCTCTTGCAGAACCACAATCGCGCGAAGAAGCCCTGAAAACACACATGGCATTCACTTCCGTGGGGTTCCCGTTCCGTGTAGGTCACGGTTCTTTTTTAGTTCGAGTTCGGGAACTCCGTCTTGGCTTGTTTCATCGCTGCTGTTCCCCTGGCCTCAGATCGGTGAAAAAACAGCTCTGATCGGTCCAAGTTTCCGCCTGGGCCTCTCTTTTAGCAGAACAAGGTTAATAGAAGTGGGAACTCTAGGTCACCAGATAATGTTGACCGCTGATTCATAACACCTCCCAAGACATGGATCGCAAAACCTCTTCATATGGGGGGTTATTCAGCAAGCAGTTCACATCTGTGTCACCAGGTGTTCTTTTCGAAAGTCGAACGTGTTGTTTTTTGTGGCTAAGGCTTGCTGACTTGTCAGATGGTGTCTGAGAAATTCACCAGATCCACCATCTACACCCTCGCCGCCCGGCCACATGTGGAGTCCAGCGTGTGGGTTCACGGCCTGAGATGGTGATTGCCTGGAGAGGGGGGTCTTGGAATTATGGGGGTTGGTCTTGCTGGAGTTTAGGGTCTAAAGAGGGGTTGCAACCATCAAGCCACTTGCTTCAAGGCATTTTCCGTGGTCCGCGCAGAATGCTAGCTGCTAGCAGTGGGCTGTAGAAAGAACACATTTGGATCATGAGATCATATGAAGTCATGACATCTGGGCGATAGGATGCCGTGATGCCCAAGCTCCTGATGACCCAGTCGAGACCCAGTCAAGACCGACACCGAGCCCGGTGAGTCCATGTGCTGGGCGTGATTGGAAAACGCCTGGCCACACGGGGTCCACATCCAACGGTCTCTTGACACCTGCGATGCTCGCTTTGCGGGAGCCGCAGATCTTTAGCTTCTTGGCGTCCCTCTTCTCCTTGCAGATGCTCTTTGATGCGGCCACACTGCATGAACAGGTGGGGAAAGCGTGAGGAAAGGATGGATTCTGCACCGTGGCCAACCCGATCAGTGGATCGAGTCGTTTTTCAAGATTGAAGACGCCACTAAACGCAGAACAGGTGGAGAGCCTTCGGTTCACCGGGTTCACCTTTCTTTTCAAGCAAAACTAAGGGAGTCAGCAGAGGGTTAGCATTTTTGAAGAACGTGGATGAATGAACCAACAACATACCCCAAACCAATGGGAGTCCGGAAAACGGCTTCGGGGAATTCCCGCATGGAGTCCCAGTCGTGGCTTTTGTGTCACCGCTGATACCTATTAGGACGTCATCGGTCGTCGGGGGGTCAGATGAATGCCTTTGAAACGGAGGCTGTTTGGAGAAGAAAAGCTGCTGCTGCCAAGGAGCCATTGGGATTCTTCGGACCGTCGTGCTGACTGATGAACCGTCCTGCTGATGCTTTTTTGTCACCTTTCTTCTTCAAACCTTATTTTTCTTTGCTCGCTCTGCCTTGCCTCCTTACTTATTCAAGTGGGCACCTACTTCTATAATTCAGTAAGGAAGTAAGCTCCTAGCTATTGGACGCAGGATAGCTTCAAGGGCGGGGGGGGAGCTTTCTCGAAGCGCGAACGCGTGGGTTCAGCCACAGGTCAGAGCACATGCACTGTTCGGCACTGGTACCCGATAGTCAGGTGGGAGGCTCCAAAGGAGTTGGCGAGTCCGTGACGCCCTCACATTCGCCTGCAGGAGGGAAAGGCAGACTAAAACCCCGAGGTGCAGTTGATGGGGGGACAGGGCTGTGGTGTGGGTGCGGTGGGTTCGGCATCGTGCCCACAGCTGAGAGACGCTTGGATGTTGTTGGATTTGGGGATAGCGACTCCGTCCCCATCAGCAGCGGACTCCTAACAAGCGCCCCGAGGGCCTATGGTCATACACGGTGAATGGTGAACAGCCCCTCACTTGCTAAAGCAAGGAAAACTCCAGCTAGCTGGTGCTAGCTTTCGTGATATGTCGATTGGGTGTGGAATTCGATGATTCGTAGAGAGATGGCGTTTCAGGCCCATTGATCTATGACGCATCCACAGTTGATTCCATGCAAGAATCGGCCTGTTGGAATCAAAGGTGCCCTTCTCCTCCCCCCCCCGCGGGTTCAACTCCCCCCTGGGACGCCTCTGGGACACCTCTTGGACACCTCTTATGGCATCCACTTTGGTTCAACTCCTCCGTGGAGGTTTTGGGATACGATGCAACAGATGCAACAGATTCACAAGCTAAGGTTGGCTGTGTCATTGCTGTTCGTGTGTCTTACATGTTCACAACGTTTTACCTCATGACGAGACCGTGTGAACCATCCCTCCAACAGCCCCATGCATATGAAAAAAGATTTGCCTCACTCCGCTTGATGTCCCACCAGTCCTTTGTCCCTGGACCCTGGACGGCGCTGTATGCTTCGCCTCCACTGACGCGGATGCATCCCTGCTAGCTTTCGTCACCTACCCTCGGCCTCAAGTATAATTCTACGTATAACCCCATTCCAGCGAACCTTCCGAGACTTAGGGCTCTTCTGTTCACTGACTTCTCACGTGAAAGACTCGGCCAGGACTCGCAAAAGCTGCCACATACGGAGCCACGGAGCCCTACTCGCTGCCGAAAAGAGCGACGCGCTGAACGGAGGCAGAGCGTTCTCTGCGTCCAACGGGGGGAGTCTCCCACTGTGTTTGGACATCCATTTTCGCGTCTGCGCTCGGTGGCGCTCCGAGGTCTGGACCTGTTGAACACTGTGAGGTTTTCGAGAGAGGGCTCATCATGCAGTGTTTAGGTTAGACCTTTGGCGTTTTTTTTGGAGTGAACCTTGCAGGAGCGCCTTTGAATACAATCACATGCAGAGGCCACGAAAGGTGTACGATTCGCTCGTCTCGGTTTGTATGTTCAGCGTGTTCATGCTCTCTGCGGACGTTGGCCATTAACTCAATCAGGACTGTCCAAAACACATCACACGTCCTGAGATGGGGAAGCGGCGCTCAGTGGCTCCAGGGACGCTCGAGAGCGTCCAGTAGAAGGACCTTTGACTCCTTTGACGTTGGGTCACGGCTTGAAGCTAATTTTCTCGTGCAATTTTCAAGCGGTGCAGACAGGATGCAAACAGGTCCTTGACGTCCACTCAGCACTTCGGGCGAACGAATCAATTCTACAAGCCAACCGTACCACTGGCATCACAGTTTTTTTGTTCCGTGCGGCGTGCCGGCTCTTCAGCGGCAGCAATGGGCTGTGTCCGGGTGCCAAAGGAGGTTGAGAAGAAACCCCTCTTAGGGCGATGAGGGCTCCTTGGAATGACGCCGGCCAAGCGGAAATGCACAGAGCACCTACATGCTGGAAGATCTTGTCTCCTAGCATTAGTAGCAAGGACGCTATTAGTAGCTCCTGGCATTGCTACTAGTAACAGAGGGCATCGCTACTAGTAGCAAGGACGCCCTACTTGCAGTCCAGTGGCCAGTAGTGTGTAGGAAGGAACGAAAGACATCATGGAAGGAACGAACGGCAAGAGGATCAAGAGGCAACACGAACGGTTTCAGCTTGCAAAATGACCTTCCTTTCTATGCCAAAGCGTAGATGGATGCTATAAAGGCTACAGCAGCGTCTCGGGTTTCTGTCCAAGCTGCCGATGTCCGGTGACAGGTGCTGGGTGAGCTGGCTGCGTGCGCTTTCGTGATAGATCTCACTCACAAGCTGACAGGCCACTCACAAGAGCTTCTCCTGATTCCCCAGCCAGGCTCGCAGGGAGTGTCTTTTCCTTCTTTTGGTTTTCCCTCACACCCATCTGTGAGTCAAGGGCAGATATCGAACATCGGGAAATGATGAGCCCCAGCAGTCAAGCTAATCATGCCAATGCCTTACTTCCGTACTCCAAAGATCCCCGAAGACCAGAAACCCATCGAACCCTCGGGACCTATCCCATGGACCGTGGGACCGTGACCCCGCGGGACCCACCGAGGTGAATAGTACCAAGCACGCGGAGCGAGCAGCTGCACGGGGTCCCGGGTGACGAAAAAGCACCAGCGACGGTCCAAAGACTTCGGTATTTGACACCACCGATGGAAAGGAATCGATTTGGGGTCCACCTAAAGACCATTCGTTTTCAACATCGTTTTGGACTCCCAGGGCATGGTCAGGTGGAGGTCGCCAGACGTCAGAGTAGGCGCATGTTGCAGCCAAAACATGGGATCGCGCGGCGCGTTCTGAAGAGCGGATCCTCCGGATGTTAGTGTTTCGAATTGTTTCGATGACTCTTGTGACTTGTTTTCAATCGATGGGGACTATGCGTTCAGGAGGTTGCAGCTCCAGAACGCGAATTTGTTTAAAGCAAGTTTGCAAAATTCCCTTTTCAATCTACTTTGGGGTCACTGAAAATGGTTTTCAATCGAACATCCCAATAATTGCCGTCGACTCAACTGGTCATCTTCGGAAGGGGTTCAAAGGCCCGGTGTTCCCAACGGACTTCTAGGGTTACCAGGGATGTCAAGCTACCGTGGTCGTTAATCTGTTTGGTGTTGACCTATGTTGCTCCTGCCCATCCGGACACGTACCCCTCAGAATGTGTGCGAGATCAGTGAGAGATCACACAAAAAGCTTTGACCCACACTCACACCTTTGCCCAACAAGGTTCCGATGCCCACTTTGCTGACGGATCGTACCAACACGACCACGATGTCGTCCGCTTCATGGCATGTCTTGATTACGTGCGAATCGTTGCAGGGGGGCTGGTGGGATGCCACTCATCGAACAACGTTACAATTCCAAGGGGGATGCACAGCTGTAGTGATGATGATGATGATGAGGAGGAAGAGGAAGAGGAAGAGGAAGAGGAGGAGGAGGAGGAGGAGGAGGAGGAGGACGCCGCCGCCGCCGACGCCGACGCCGACGCCGACGCCGACGACGACGTTGTTGATTTTGCATGCAATGTTCCCCAAATACGTGTAGGTCGGGTTCAGGGCACGAACGCGAGACCAAAACGGGGGTCGTTTGGGTTGACGGCCAGGTGGGCGGATGACATTGAAGTCGCCTCATACCTGTCCATTTCCTCCATGCTCCTTGGGCGCAACGAGTGAGCCGCTTTGCGAGCGGCTCGGGCAGAGCGCTCGCTGCTCGCTTGGATTGAGCACCAGGAGGTCTCAGGTGATCCGAGGCGTGCTGACTTCTTCAGAAGCTCTGTTGTTTCATCTGACTCTGCACAGAGTCCAAAATCTCAGAACTAAACTTGTTCTATTGTCATCTATTGTGATGTCATTTTGGAATTACCCAACAACTTTTTATTCATAGTCTTGGACTCTATGGCACATTCGAAACAGGTCTTTGGGGTCGATCAAACATGCCCAACAGGAGCAGTCTTTTTTGTGCCGTCTCAGGTCACAGGGTCAAACAGAACACCCCAGGTGATCCAGGTTGACTTGAACTCGAAACGCAACAGCCCAAGGATACTCAAGGATGTGAGGATACGCATGTTGAAGATGTTTCTACATGTCCAGGTGTTTTTGAAAACCACTGGTTCCCGACTTTCACTTTCCTGGTGGTCGTTTCTTTTTTTGCACCTCAGCGTGGACCACCTCTCCGTTCAACCGAGGCCGTCGGGTATCTCTCAGATGCCAACGATCTCGGTGTGTCAGACCTCCAGTTGGATGATGTCCACCAACAGCCCGACGGTGGACAAGGAGCAAACGACAACGGCCACCCACCGCGAACTTCGGGACATGTTTCGCGTGAATCACTGCACTTCTTGCACGCGTTTCCCTAGGCACCTGACTGGTGGATCAAGAGTGAAAAAGAGATGTGAGGCCATGCCTGAGGGGTGCACACGACTTGGAGTTGAGTCTCTCGGGTCTTTCGTGGCAGGAGAGCCTGTGCAATCATGTCGACACCTACACTCTCGAGGTTGGGTGGCCTGGTGAGTGCTTGTTCACCTAGTGAGCTGCATGTTGAAAGGATGGCAATGGAATGCAATTGATCTATAGTATAGCCTTTATAGGCGAAACTTCTCTTCACAGGGAGAGCTTCAGTGAGCCACTCATCTTGTCCCTTTGGCAACAGCACATCTGGTGAATCAGAACCTTCACTCGCCATGATTGGGGCTTCTCTAAACTTGCTGTGGACATCAGGCACAGGGCTCCCATGAGGGCGTCTTCGCTGTGCGTCTAAGCCGTTTCTTCCCTGTTCCTCTCAGGAGGATCGACGGAGTCAGCTGGATCCGGCCTTTTGCCGCGAGGCCCGGGCGGCCCCGCTCCGCGCACCGCGGCGGTTCGGACCGTGCGCCCGACGGTCCCGGTGAGTCGAGCGCCGCGAGGATGGAAACGAGTCAGAGGAAGAAGAGGACGGAGACGTGACGGACGAAGAAAGGACTCACAAGCTGTGCGGAAAGGTGGCGAGTTAGAGGCAGAAAGCGACTCACAAGATTGCGAGTTTGGGGTCCATGCAAGTATGCGAAACACCCTGGTGGTGTAGCTAAACATTTTGCAAGTTTCGCCCTGTCAGTAAACCAGATACAACTCCTGCATGGCGGGTGAGCTCCTGCTTCGCATCCCTTGGTAGGGAAGTTGGGGGACTTGGCACCCAACGGTAAATTGGTGAGAACGCACACAGATGGAAGCAAACATGCAGGTGCATCTTAGACTAGGCAATGGGTTTTGAAGGGCTTTAAGATGCTTTAAGTCTCTTAGCCCTTTTGTTAGGGGTCAGGTGAGGTGTTGTCCTATTTCAACCTACACACCCACGTAATGTAGACTTTTGATTCATAACCCCCCAGACATGGATTGAACAACCTCTTCTGCCTCTCGCGCACACGACGGGTTCGTCCATCTGTACAGAGTCACCCGCATTCCACTGGGTGACATAGAAAGAAACCCAAAAGTACAGCAGCTTAAACTAAACAGATTGAACAACCTCTTCTGCCTCTCGCGCACACGAAGGGTTCATCCCTTCTGTACATGGTCATCTGCATGCCACAAGATGACCTAAAGAAACCCCGAAAAGGTAGCCAGCAGGCCACAAACAGACCAAAGAAAAGGTTCAAGTTGAAAATTCATGAACTGCAAACTCCCAGGATGAGAGGTTAGCTCTCACGACCCGGTCCGCTACAGACGTAAGAAAGCAAAGGTCCTCAGTCGTCCTCCATGGTCTCGCACCAACGACAATGCCGCTGGGCATCGTCTTTCCCCAGGCGTTATGCTCATGTGCATCATGGGTGCCCGGAAAGAGTGGTCCCCATCCGCGCCGAAGTAGAAGTCCGCACCACTTCTTCACACAACATATCAGGGTCTTGAAAGTGTAAAACTCGTCGTTAAAAGCTTCCAAACGGAACTGCTTTCCAACAAGAAGTACGGCCAACTCAGCATAGGAGATACGTGCGTCCTCATGTACAAACCACTTCAGACTTTTCAAGAAGGCCGTGAAGACCGACCAATCATGTGCCGCAGCCGGCCAGCAAGCAGGTGGAGTATGATCAAATTCAAAGGGAATCTGCCAACGGTACTTTGCAACATCTTCATTCCAAGGAAGAAGAGGAAAGCGGTGTTGTGGATCCGGCGCACTGTTGTCAATTTCGTCCTCAGAATCTGACTCACGCGGGGGAAGTGTGTTCCCAATCAACTTGCACAAACCAGTAGGCCATTGTTGACGATGAAGAACAGCTTGACATAAGGCTGGGTATACTGTTGCATGAATGGCAGCATTACCCAAAGCGGCTTTTTTTGCCGCAACATCGGCGCGTCGGTTGTTCAAGATATCCAGGACTGTTGTGCCGTGTGCATCTGCTATGCTAGGCGAAAGCAAGTACTCTGGAATATCCTCAGCAACATGAGCTGGTATCCAAGAACAAACCAAGGGAGTGTCGTGAAGCGCGAGACGTTGCCGAAAAAGGTTGTGCATGAAGTTCCACCATGCCTGTAGTGGCCATGTTTTATCTACTCCGCTCCCAGAGATCAAATAGTTCACAAGCCGAGAAACGATTTGTGAGTCAGTGCGTACGTGCACGGGACCTGAAGCTGTCGTGAGGGCAACTAGGATGGCCCAAAGTTCGGCTGTATAGCTTGGGAGGTTCCAGTGGTGTACAGGGCCGGATTGCAAAACACTACCATCATGGCGAACAATGGAAAAACCAGCACAACTGACAATGAAATGGGACGGCCATTGCACGGAGCCGTCTGTCCACATCGTCACCTGGGGCTGACCCGGGTTCCAAGGTGCAATCTCGAGTTGTTTAGGGTCAGAAACTTGCAAACGGTGAGCAAGGATCGATGTGTGGTGCTCAACAATACCCAAGAGCTCGAAATTGGGGCCAAGCTCATGAACAGGTGGAGGGCCATGGAGTTCACGAATACCCTGACACTCTCTGACTAGATGAGGAAGTGATTCCTTGGTTTCCTGACACAAGCGACATGTGGGATCAGGGATCCTCTTAGCGGCAGCAAGGCGATCTTTGGTAAGGACACACCCGACAAGCTGGGCCTCAAAAAAGGCTTTCTGGGGAATGTCATCATTGTGCTCTTCTTTTTGCCGGGAAAAGGACGTGGAGAGCCAAAAATCAAGAAAGCCTTCAGGTGCCCGAAAGTCTTTCCTACTTTGTTGACTGGCCAAGGAGTAACAAGCATGTCTGGCGAGTTGCTGTAGAACGGGGCGAACGTCCCGTGGGCACAGCTGGTCAAGGCGACAAAGGAAGGCGCCAGCCAGTCGTATGTCACCATCATTGCTCAATTCAAGGCCAAAAAAGCGAAAAGCTTCCTGAATCTTGCCCGTCAGGGTACCTTGCATTTTCTTGTTATGGCTTAGTAGGTGATCAAATCTGGTTCGTTCCCCAGGAAAGAGATGGAGATACCTACATAAGTCCAGGATAGCATTATAGTGCCTGGCACACATAGGCTCGACACGGTGAGGCTTGCACAAAAAGGCAAAAACAAGAAACTTTGCACGCCAATGTGGTCGGTTGTTCCAGAGAGTTGTCACAATTTCACCCTGTATGCGCGCAAGGGCACGCGCTGGAATTTGGTTGATGGCGGCATTATATGTGCACTGTGGGATCACTTTTGCACCGATGATTTTGGCCTTCTGGGCAATGGAAATTGGCAAACAAGCAATATTCCGAACATCAGCAATAATTTTAGCAAGCTTATCATCCGAGAAATGAGAAGCATTACGAAAACTGGTCTGAACATGAACGCCAAGGACTTCAAGTTCAAGGGCAAATCGCATGTTAGGAAAAAGGTGCTTAATGCATTTCCGGGCCTCCGTGGAGGATCCCCACACAGTACATTTGGACCAGTTCATGGCTTGGCCGACCAAGGCATCCCAAGACTGTGTGATATGTATGGCCTGGACTAAATCATGCTTATGGATTAAGCGAACCCACAGGTAGGCGTCATCAACAAAAGCCTGTGCTGTGACATTTGGCAGGACTGCGAGTAAATGGACCCATGCTTTCATGTGCACATTAATGGCAATGAGCGAAAGGCTACAACCTTGTGCAACACCGTTCGGTCCGTGTGTGGGCGCCGGCTGGACCCATGACTTGTATGAGAGGTGTTTCGTTAAGCCCTGATACAGCTTCAGGAAGAACGAGACAACACATCTGGGGACTCCGAAAGCAAGCATTAATGCGCCAGCATATTCAGGGATAATGCGGTCAAAACATTTTGCTTTATCGATTTTAACCCCAATCAAGTCACATTGCTCGTGCCGCATGTGTTCAAGAGTGATAGCAAACTGGGTGTGAATCGCAGCCATGTGGCGCTGTGGAATTCCCCCTTGCAATTGATCAGGCATGATGCACATCTGCCATTCCTTGAGATGAATGAAACGTGCACCCGTGTACGCAAGCAAAATGACAGGAAGTAAAGTAATGAGCCTCTTCTGCAGAGGTTCAGAACTACCGTTCTTGTTGAGGATTATTTGTCGAGCGGTTGCCATAACACGGGGAAGTGGTTCATCGGATTCTTCAAGGCGGCTAAAGAGAGCGGCGAACCAGTCAAAGCAAGCGCACGGAAGGTGTTGCATTTCTGTGGTGCGCCATCCATCGAGCCCAGGTGCAGCTGTTTTTTTCCTCTTGTGGACGACCTGCTTTAGGGCGCTACCTGTGATGTCCGGAACGGGGTAGTCATAGTGAAAGTGGTGGATGTGTGGCCACACAATGTCGAGCATCTTAATAGCAGGGGGAAAACCCAAGTTGGCACTGAAAATGGGGTCCCACTGATTATTGATCTCCGTCAAAGCGCTTTGGGGGTCAAAAATGGCGTTCCCTTGTTGATCAATGACCAAGTTTGCAGGCTCCGTAGAGACTTTGTTCTTGAGGTGATGAAAAAGGAAGGCGGACCCAATCTTCGCGGAGTCTTGAATCTTCTGCTTCCATGCTTGGATGCGTTTGATTTTGAGCTTAAGTTCCCCAACTGCAATCTGGTCTTGGACCCACTGAATGGCGACAGTCACTTCGACGAGTGTGGGTCTCCGGGACGACGGCCACAAAATTGGCGCACGAAGCCTGGCGAGGCGGTTCCAAACCCTAACGAAGGTGCGGTGCTGAATCCATCGATTGGTGTCACCGCGGAGATTACGGGTAAGAAAGATCTCAATTTCACGAAGGCCCCCAAGGGCATTGTGCAGCCACGAGCAAACCAAGTTGGTAGCATGACCGTTCAAAAGTTGACCAGGGCAAACCTTCTTGGGGCGAAATTGGATAGGTTGGCCTCTTGTTTGGGGACCGGATCCCCAGGTGGCCCCTGAATCAAGCATGACTTGAATGCAAGCGGAGTTGGTGCGATTCCAGCAAGTCTCAACATCGTCCCCTTGATCCCAGGGTGGGTGTTCGTCAACGGACCCTTGGGTGGAAAGGGAATGGGAGTCCCACACAAAAGGTGCAGTCTTGTGGAGCGTGTACCCAATCTGCCAAATTCTGTCCCAGGCAAGAGTCAACCGAATAGGTCGGTGTTGAACTTTGAAATACGAAAGAACTTCAGCTTCAAGGATGGCCGAGGAGGCGACCCTATTTGCCAAAATGGCATCAATGCTGGAACAACCATCGCCGAAGCCAGAAAAGGTTCCATTAGCCGAAAAGGTAATGGGCCGATTGGTGTTGTCTCCGGAAAGCTGATCAACAGGATCGACCCATTGGTGAAAATTAACGGCATTAGCGACAGCAGGATATTGCATGGGCTCAGTTTGAAAGTCACCCGCAACAAAGGCAGGGATGTCCCCAAATTGACTGATGATGAGGAAGACATCGGCCAAAACAGCATCATTGGTCAAGAGAATGTCCTTATCTTGACTGGCGCCGGTTTTACAGTAAATATTGAAAACCAGGGCCTTCAAGGAGGGAGAGACCTGGAT